CATCTATCAAGTGTTTCACCAGTGAAGGATAAAGGTTTATCGTGATACACAACTTTAGACGGCTCGCTTTTGATTTCCAGCTTTAGAAGAAAGCGAGGCACATCTTTATCTTGGTCTGCATCTGCCTACTTGTTTTTGTCACGGTCGGGATGGAGAGATGAGGCGAGGACACAAAGATGCAGTAAATCGGCTCTTTATTAATAGTAAAAAATAAATAAAACTAACAAAAACCACCCCGAGGGGGGAAAAACAGGCAGGAAGGCCAGAACAGGGCACAGCATGGCAAGGCAAGGGAAAGCCAGGACAGGAACAGGTAGAGCAGGCCCAAACCAGGAACACACAGACACATCCGACCACATACGACAACGAAGAAGCACAGGACTGCAAACACAAGGAGAATAAATAGGGAGACAAACAAGGAGGGTAACGAGGGACACAGGTGGAGTAACTGAAACAATAATGAGATAAGAAGGGTGGGGTCAGACAATAGACTGGAGAGCACATGGCACCAACAAAAACAATGACAAGCCATGTGCTCACAAACAGACACAGGATTGCCCTCTGGTGGCCGTCCTGGGCACACCAGCTGAAGACATAACCCCTCCCTTAAGGAGCATATTCCAGACGCTCCAACAAAAGTCAAAGAAATCCCGGAGGGAGGGGGAATGGAGGTGGATCAGGGGGAGGGATGGCGGGCGTGTAGTGGAAGTGGGCCTGGACACAGAGGAGGCCAGGGCGGGGCCGGCAGGGCAGGGCAGGAGGCCAGGGCGGAGCATAAGCCCACCAGGGCGGGGCCGGAGGGACAAACCAGCGAGGCTCTGGCCAAATAGGAACCCCGGCGGACCACCAGGGCGGGACCAAAGGGACTGACCAATGAGGCTCTAGCTGAACAGCAACCCCGGCGGGTGACCAGGGCGGAGCTGGGAGCTTGGCAGGCAGCAAGGTGCGGATCTGCTGACCACCTCAGCGGAGTTGACAAGGTGGCTCAGGCAGGACTGCAATGAAGAGCACAGAGAGGTTATTAAGAGCCTTGATGGCCATAACAGGACCTGCAGACAGTTCAGCAACAGTCTCCTTGTCTGGGACAAGACAGACTGAGAGTTCAGGAGTGGGCGCCACCGCCCAGAGAGGAGCTGATGTGGATGCTGCCACCTCAGGAGGTTCTGCAGCAGAAGTTGCCACCTCGGGGGGAACTGGAGCAAGTTCAAGAGTGGACTGAGGGCTCCCAGACTGGAGTGAGCCTAGGAGTGAACTCAGACTTGAGTAGGCTCTGGAGTGGACTCTGGAGTGGACTCTGAGGGCTCCCGGACTGGAGAGGGCTCTGGAGTGGACTCTGAGGGCTCCTAGACTGGAGCAGACTCTGGAGTGGACTCTGAGGGCTTCCGGACTGGAGTGGACTCTGGAGTGGATTCTGAAGGCTCCTCGACTGGAGCCTACAGAATCACCGGACCAGGACCACCAGACACGAGACCACCAGAGTCAACAGTGGTCTCTGTGACAGTTTTATGGGTCCATGTGAAAGACGTGTTGAGTGTTTATCCAGTGGGAATATTAATCCTGTGGGGATGTTTAATGTAGATACATTCAGCCATTTTGTGAAATTTAAATGGCTGTTTTTGAATCATGAAAGAAACATGTTTGAGTGACAGCTCTAAATTGCCCAGTGATTAGTGCTGCGCTGTACTGGCTTCCTCAGATGCCCCCATGTAACTTATAAAGCTGCTTGTAAAAGCTTTTGACATTCAAAGTCGAAGTGGTTCAATTAATTTTAAAGAAAAGTTATTAGTCAGCCCATTAGGAGTGCTGCGATTGTTTAATTGCTGAAATGAAAGTGAATGGCTAGATTTAAAGAGTCTCACATTTTAGTTCACACAGGCAGTAATGTGTTAGATTTGAATTGTACTCTATGCAAGTACATTTGGAAATGTTTCAGAATTAATAATGCACCACTTTTTTAGTCCTGCCATACAGGGCACTAAATATAACCATTCTTTTGCAACAAGTTGACTACTGAGGTTTGTTTCCACCCTAAAAACATACTTGAAGTATGTACAGTACAACAGGATGCTTTGCAATGCATCATTAGTACTTGCTTGAAAGTACTTGCATGTAAGAACTTGCAAAGAGTTTCTGGCTTTACTCTCAAGTCTTGGCCTGACATTGCACACATGCTAGAAGACAGCTTGTGTAAATGTGCAGTGACTAAACTGGCTCTTTTTCCTCCTACTACTGAACAGTGCTGTATTGTGTAACAGATTTTGTGCGAGAACACTGGTCTAATTTTCACACAGTGCTGATACTGAGACAATAAACATGATGATTCTTAAAGAGCCTCTGAAATCAAGAGCAATTCGGAATTATGCTCATAAAGATATAATCTCATGCTGTTTTTTGATTTACATGCTGTAGAAATGAGCGAACATGAACATATAAAAAGTAATAATAGATGAGGTAAAATTAAATTTTAATTGAATAATACATGAATAAAAACAGGATGTATATTTAATAAAAAAAATAAACACAAAAATGTTTTCAGCCTTTAAAATCAAAAGTCAGAATTGTATTCATGAAGATACAATCTCATGCTGTATTTTAATTTACAGGCTACAAAAATGACCACTTATGAACATAAAAGGTAATAATAATATATGAGGTAAAATAAAGGTTTAATTAAAATAAATTAAAATTGTTTTTATTAAATAAATACATAATACATTTAAATAAATAAATACAAAAATGTTTTCAGCCTTTAAAATCAAGAGTATTCAGAATTATAAAGCTACAATCTTATGCTATATTTTGATTTCTTTTTTACATATGAACATATAAAAAGTAATAAAATATGGGGTTAAATAACAAAAATAATAATTTCCACATTAATATATTAGAATGTTTTTATTAAATAAAGAAATAGATTTGAATTTATATTAAATAATAAAAAACATTTCAATAAGAAAGAAAGAAAGAAAGAAAAATAAATTAAAAAAATGTTTCCTACTAGACTGGGGAAAAACCTGTCATTCCCAAAACAGAATTTAGATTCCACAACAGGACACGGAGATCTGTAGGAAAGAAATATGACAAAAAGATTACTTTAATATCTCAAATGCTTCTCCTAGACAGCAATGAGAATAAACTGAGAATTTTGCAGTTTTACTGTTTGACATTGTACCCATGGTAGTAGACAGGTTGTCTTTAAAATGTGCAATGTCTAAACTAGCTATTTTTTTCCTTTCTACAAGTCATAGTGGCATTATTCTTAATATTACAGCATAATTAATGTGCTCAATTACATATGTGATGGTGAGATGAAGGTGAAACTACACACCTGTCAAATCAATCCAGCCAGGTGCTTGTATTAGCTGATGTAGATGTCCTGCTCAAAAGACCAGCATCTGTTGTGTTTTTGGTGCTGGTCTACTTAAACGATGTTACGATGTAAGCTGTCTGGAGCTGATGAGCTTCAAGCAACTTTTTTTTGTAAAGTTGACAGTTTAACATTTCTTGGTATTCAATACTGCCATGGGCTGTATCTTTCAAACCTACTTTTAATTAAATCATGACTCACTAGCTGTCTTCCTTCAAGATGTGCCGTAGGAGGAATTCAGTACTAGAGCATGTGAAATTTTTATAAATACACACATACCACCTACTAAATAACAGTGTTGTATTGTGTAACAAATTTTCTGAGAACATTGCTAAACTGAGACTAAGTTTAAAAAAGGTGTGTGTATACAGTGGGTACGGAAAGTATTCAGACCCCCTTAAATTTTTCACTCTTTGTTATATTGCAGCCATTTGCTAAAATCATTTAAGTTAATTTTTTTCCTCATTAATGTACACACAGCACCCCATATTGACATAATGTATAATTTTATTATTGTTTATTTTTTAAATGATAATTTATAGGATTCAAAAAGTCAATCTAAAATGTTGCTTAGTGCATTTAAGGACATTGCTATGTTGTTGGGGCGTTGCTAGGGTGTTTTTAGGGGTGGCTGGTGGGTGGAATGACAAAAATGTTCAGCAAAATTTCCCCTTAGAAAAGCAATAGCATACCTCTCCTTCAAATGCTGGTTTGCTTGTAAATTGCTGGCTCACAAAACAGCAGAGCTCTCCCAAAACACCTGTATCACCTTCATTTCAACTTCTTGTTCTTTGTTCTTTCTTGGCATACTGGTAACTCCTTTTCTTCTTACCCATAATTCCATTTCCTGTCCTTATTCTCCACCCCTGACCCTCCAGACTGTAGAACATAAAATCAAGTGCCCCCTTCAACCTCACTTCCTGCCATTCATTGACATTTCCTCCAGGAAGCATCTGCTGGTCCGTCATGAAGCGGCCTGTTAGAAGGACAGAATAATACTGTGTTAGTCATGGGACATTCAACACCGCATTAGTCCCACGTGACCCCTTGAAAACACACACTGAGGTCAATCAACACGCATTCAAATCTGACAGTGTTAAGTGTGACATGTAAACAGAGGTATAGGACTACTGTAAAGCACATTCCCAAATGCAATGAGCGATGCTTCCGGGAATTTTTCCCCAGAGTTTGTTTTGTCAAAGAATCCTGTTACAGACACAATGAACAAGTCAAATAAATAGGAAAAGTCCTTGTCCAGTGTTACACATATCTTTATGAGGGAATGCTAGAATAGGCAGTTATGATGTTTCCAAGGTATTGAAACCTAAAACCCTCAAGGAGGTAATGGGTGTTGATCCATGCTTGGATTTAACAGATCCTGTGCCAAGGAACATAGGCTTTTCCCATCGGTTTGAGCTCATCTATCACTCTGCTGTGGGAGTCTGTGTATTATGCGAGTACTAGTTTCACCAACAACAGATTGTGTTCATAGTTGCGTTTGTTTTGCTTCAGCAGCACCACCACCCAAGAGGAAGTGAACGGCTGTATCAAGGCTGAACAGACTTCCTGTGCTTGTTGTCTTGGGAGGACCTCACAGGGGCAGCTAAGAAAGCAGACAGTTTCATTTAGTTCCAGTCAGCGTGCAGACATGGAGCTCTGGATGGGATTATATCTTGTGAGCTTCCTCAACATGGCACGTTGTTTGCTCGAATCATCCTACACTGTTCATTTGAACAAACTCTCATTCGAAAATGCTCAGAATTACTGCAAACCTGGAAGTTTCTTGACCAACATTCCAAATGAGAAGGAAATGGACAAGATTCTGAAAACAATCTGGGACATGAATAACCAAACCACCACGTCAGTTTGGATTGGACTGAAGAAGGATAAAGGCATTTGTGTTGAACAGCATTTGCCTCTTAAAGGATTCTACTGGACGGTGGACAACAGCACTCAATCTGATGTTAAAACCTGGAAAACCGAACCTTTCGGTACTTGCACATATCTTCTCTGTGGGCTGCTTTCAGTGGAATACAGTGACTCTGGTGCAAAAAGCAATGGGTTTGTGGATGCCACCTGCAAACAGGAACATCCTTTCATTTGCAAACGAAACGTCAAGCTGGTGTGTCCGCGACCAGAAATACTCGCCACACATGATATGATTGAGCAATCAAATGATCCGTACACACGTCAGATTGTTTGCCTTTCTGGTGCCAGGTTCAATTTGACATGCTCCAAAGATCTAGTCTGGACTCTAGTCGGTGACAAAAACGTGGATATATCGCAACTCTGCCTGGAGTGCAAAAAAGGCTACAGGAGGGATGCATCCGGAAACTGTGTGGATGTAAACGAATGTAAAGAATCCAAACCATGCGAGCAACGATGCCTGAACACAGAAGGCTCCTACAAATGTCTATGTTTGTACAATGACGATGGCATTTGTAATGGATCGGCAAAGCCGCCCACCACCAATCTGAAAAACAGTGAATATTCAAACATAAACAGGGGCAAGTCTGTGCTAACTCAACCTACGTCTCTGCCTGATGATGTCAGAATGAATGAGACAGTCGTGCCTATTGACGAGAGCTCTGGAGACATTTCAAATATCGTAGTACCTGTGATTATAGCTCTGCTGATTTTCATAGTGCTGCTGGTGATCGTGGCGGCCATCGTGAAAGGCTGCCTGAGGAAGAGATCCATTAAACCGGCCCGGAGGAAGGCGGAGGCTGTGGCTCTGAATGGATCCAGCTCCATGGAGAAGATGAATGAAAAAGAGGAAACCTAAGTGGGAGAGACTGTGCAAATGTAAAAGATAATTCAATGTGACACATGCAGACGACAGAGGGTGCTTACTGCAAGATATTCCTCTCTCAGAACATTTGGGTGTGAGGTCTGGAGTCATAAGAGTGCTGTGTAATTACTGCCTTTGAATTTCATTTGCCATTTTGTCTCACAGTTGAAACCAGGGTCTTTATTCCAATGTGGATTTGGAAATCCTATAGGTCACATCGACGGTAATTAGATTTATGAGAAGCCTTCTCTGTATTGGTTTACTCTTTCATAGCTTATATTTAAATGCACCTATGTGGAGATGTAAGAACTATAGAAGATATTGTGTTAATATTGCAATTGGATGTGTTTTCTAATTATACATTTCTATGTTTCACAACATGGAAGTTTTATACGTGTCTTTTTAACTGAAGAGTTATAGCCATAAATAAAGACGGATGTTTAAGCTGCTGTACGCGGCGGTCGTTTCTTTGAGTACCACGCGTAAATGTCTTTATTATCGATATATAACAAATATCGCTGAAATAGATGTCCCTTGAGATCATATTTGTTTTTGGGGCTGCTTGTAAACAGCATTTGACCACTGACGCGTGGCTTCGGTGTGAGTTTAGTCAGGTTATTATTGTGCACTTCCGTTTGGTGCCGCGAGAGGCGCTGAAATCGCTTACAGCAGCTTTACCCTCTCGCTCAGATTTTTTTGTTTATATGATTGCAGTATCACGCAGATGTATTTTTAAGTGATTTAAAATAGACTGTTTGTTCTTTTATTAATTTATAATAATATATTTTTCAAAACACGTTTAAAGAGAAAAATGTTGAGTGCACCTTTAATAAAGAAAATAGAGTAATTATGATTTATGTATATATTTCACCGTTCCTATCACTGGAAATATAGCCTAATTGAAATTAACCTGTGCCATGTAAAAAAAAAAAGTGCAGACTCGAACATTTGCTCAGTTTTTTTTTTTGTGGCAACGTAACACGTTTTAAAGAAATGTAACATTAAATGTTAAAGACTAACATCGACAGAATCGTGCTACTCAAAACTTCAAAGACTGCGGTGATGTTACATCTGCATAGCTACTGCACTGCGATTGGTCTTCTTTCTTGCATATATTTGCTAATTTAGATGTCATGACGATGCAAGGCGGTTCTGTTTTCATTTCTGTACACACTGAACCAAAACATAAAATCCAAAACCTGTAACACTGTTTCGTTCCTGCTTTGCAAGCACTGCAAGCTTCCTTAGGAAAATACAACTTTTACCACATAATACACTGAGAGTGAATGATTTCCCCAGGTTTTATTCCATTTCAAAATAAACAACTAAATATTTGGCTTTGGGTATTTCTTGTTTTTTTTTATCTGAACGTCACATTTTTCCCATATCGACACACTTTATAATAACTTTCATTAATAAGCCATTCAAAGCATTATATAATGTGCATAAAAAGTTCATGCACATTCATTTACAGGCAAAAATGCACATTAACTTCTGATTAAGCATTATATAAGCTAATAATGGCATTAACGAACGTTATTATGAAGTCTTACCAATACATTTCAACACAAAACACATACTGCAATGACAACAGATAACAAAAGTCTTTATGCTGTAATACCGAGTCCTACAGCGTTGTAGTTCTAGATGTGCAGGTGCCATTCCTGTACGTGCTGCCCGACTCCAGATTGTCCGGCTGAAAGTCATCCACACTGTATCCTCGACTCTTCAGAGCCGTGGCATAGTAATCTATGGGCTCCTCCGTGGCGTTATCCCACCAGCGGAGGCACAAAATCCTCTGGAAGGAGCGTCTGAAGTTGTCCGACAGGAATCCGTACAGGATGGGGTTGGCACAGCTGTTGGCATATCCCAAAATCACAGCCAGCTGACTGAGGGTGGCATTGTGCTGCTGGACGAATACGCTGACCAGCTGCACGATGTGAAAAGGCATCCAGCAGATCACAAACACCGTCACCACCATCATCACCATCAGCGTGATCTTCCTCTCGGACTTTTTGCGCTGCTGCCAGCCCGCTTTCAAGGCGACCACCCGCATCTTCACTATGATGAGGATGTAGCACATGCAGATGGCAATGACAGGGAAGAGAAAGCCCATCAGAAAGGCGTAGATCACAAATACAGCCATCCACTGACGCTCGGGCTCAGGCATCTGCATGTTGCAAGCCACTGATCCGTCAGAGTTGGGTGCAGTGGTGGAGAAGATGATGATGGGTAGGATGACCAGAATGGAGAACATCCAGACCCCCAAGTTGACCATTTTGGCGATGGTGGGTCTCCGGTACCGGGCTGCTTTGATGGGATGCACCACGGAGATGTAGCGATCGATACTCAACACAGTCAGACAATAGATGCTGGTGAACATGTTAATGGCATCAACACTTAAAACCAATCGACACAGGAGAGAACCAAAGGGCCAGTGGTGAAGTAAAGAAGAGGTGACAAGGAAAGGCACACTCAACATGAGCAACTCATCCGCGATCGCCAAGTTCAAAATGTAGATGTTCGTCGCAGTTTTCATCTTCGCATACCTGAAGATCACATAAATCACCATCGAGTTCCCACAGAGTCCCACCACACACACTACGGAATAGATGAAGGAGATGAAGATCGCGCTGCTGCCGTGAGAATCCCCGTTATGCGTCTCGTTGCTGGAGAAGTTTAACAGATAGAAACCATCCTCCAGGTTCTTGAAGGTGTCGTTGGGCAGCATTCCGACACTGTTTTGAGCCTTTCTGTGGATTTCAAGTGTATAAATACGCGCTCAGAAAATGCGCGCATAGATGTTGCGAGACTCCGGAAGGCGCATCCCGACGCTGCGGCGGTTTCAGCACCATGGACAGTTACTCCACATCCACATGCATCACATTCACAGACGTCACACGTGCAACGTGACGCCATCGGCTCCTAATGGGTTTGTGAGCGTGTCTGAGAAACAAAAATAGTTTCTTGACGACACCTAGACCTTCTTTTCAATGTCAGTATTAACTCAATATTATAAAAACAGACATTTTTAATATCAAACAAAGCAACACATACAAGGACTAGAAGTCCTTACATACATTTTGTATTTCTTGTTGCCTCCGGTAACTTAAAACAACACTCAGCTTGATTTGCTTTTACTCCTTTTTCTTGCTTTGGATTTTTGGATCTTCAAATGCGGAAAAAAGGAGAAAATAAAACTGACCTTTGCGTCTCTGGAGGAGATTTCATTACGGTCATGTCCTCGACGTTGTCACAGGACTGTTCTGGAAATAATTTTGTTTATGATTATATTTATTAGAAACACAACCCATGCCTTTGCAATGAGTTTCAAGCAGTCACACAGACTAGATGCTCTTTTTTAGGGCTAAAACAGGTAGTCTTAGTTTTCACACAGGTGAGTTTAAAATTAATAGCAATTTTTTATGCACTTTCCCTCTAAAATGGAATAAAACATGTTGTTCATCCTACGACAAAGAAAGGGCTTTTACAGAAGGTCCACGGAACAAATGAAAATCTCAGTATTTTGAATCTGGGGTCATTCGGTTGAACCCTGATATGGGCATCTTTTGTGACTGTTGCCATAGTCTTTATATAGTTTTCCTGTACTGCACAATGCCTTATAATAACAACAAAGCACCCGTGAGTGTGAAGAGAAAGCTTATCTGTGCTTATTTCTGGCACCACCTAGTGATGGATGCAAAGTTTAAGAAAATAATCCAGCTTCAGTTAAAACTAATGCTGTTTGAGGGACTATATAGTTTAGGCAAACATACCAGGTTTCTGATTCACCACATTTAGAAGCATCTCCGAATGTGTGTAAATACAATAAACAAATAAATAGATGAACAATTATACTTAAATGCACATGTAAATAGAGCCTGTTGCATCTAGTTCAGCTTTAACTGGGGAAAAGTAATATGCTAAATGCCCAATTAATTAATAAATACATACAGTACATAAAAACAATGAATAACAAATTATTGACTTGAGTCCTTGAAAAAGGTTTTTGCATTGCATTACACTATGCCTATTTGGTGAATGTAACTTTAAGAGGGATTGCAGTTTTTCAAATGTAATCAATAGGATTTTTTCCCCAAACATTTACATTTATTCATTTAGCAGATGCTTTTATCTAAAGTGACAACACAATTTGTCATCCATATGATTTGTACGAAAACATATAACACATTATGTCAGAGGAGACTGCAGGTGCTGAGTTTGGTGGATGTCGCTTGAAAGCGTTTGAAAAAAAAATGTAAGTCTCAGACTAAGGACATTTTCGGGGGAAACAGCTCTAATTAAAGTTTGAAGAATTTCAGTATGTTGTAACATGCCCACAATATTCTATTCATTTAACAAGACAGCTGGTAAGAACCGTTTCACACCTGAAATAATTTTACCCTCTTCGCTCCCAAGCTAATACACTCCATCTCAAAATGCTCACACCTTGAAAATAGGATATAAGAATAGCAAAAACCTGAAACACTTTTGTCAGAATTTGAGTGATACCTCATTTTTTCTCACAGATGGAGACTTGTGTTGTCCTTGAAATGTAATGAGCCCAGTCAGAGCACAACATGTGAGGAGCAGATGGCTGTCTTCACACTCTTCTTTCTGAGACTCTCTCTCTCTCTCTCTGAACTGGAGAAGAGCCAGATCATTCAGCAGGTGTTTCTCTCTTTCCATCTAGTTAAGAGTCTTTGCCCGGTGTCATATGAAGTGACCTGACTTCTTCAGGGCAAATATGATTTCAGACATCAGGTAGATACAGCTGTCTGGCTGTTAGGCTGCTTATTAAAAGACATTCATTATTTAGACATTTGATTTAATTTTAGTCAGCAAATTAATTGTTTCACAATTAAAACAGTTGGTAATTACCAAAATAATTACATCTAATGAACAAATATCTCATTCTGGTTAAAATCCGATCTAAACCCTAAGTATTAAACTTCTGCTATTGTGATATTTAATTGCTAAATGTACAGTCTGCACTAAAACTCTTGTGGAATAAAAAACATCTTTCTCCATTTATTATCATTCAAAAATGTAAACTGCAATTGCAAACAATTCATTATAATATAGTAGATGTTTCACCAGTGAATAAAACTGCCTGTCCATGAAGTGAAGGTGGCGGCATCCAGGTTGTGTACTTCTGAGCTGCATGAATCAGCCGACCATCTGCTATTGATGAATGAGAAACTGCAGGTACTTTAGACCTTCTTGGCTGACAGAAAAGAAAAAGCAAAGCAGCTCTTATGCAGGCTATTCTAAAGTTTAAGGTCATAGGATTTTTTTTTTTTAAGAAATCAATACTTTTTTCAGTAAGGACACATGATCAAAAAGTGACCCCAAAACATTCATCATGTTACAAAAGATTTTATTTCAAATAAATGCTGATTTTCAAAGAATACTAAAAAATAATCCTAAAAAATGTATGAATTTTTTTCACAAAAAAACTGGTAAGAAATATGTTTTGAGCAGGAAATCAGTATATTACAACGGCTTCTGAAGGATCATGTGACACAGAAGACTGGAGTAATGATGATGAAAATTCACCTTTGCATCACAGGAATACATTTCATTTTAAAATATATTAAAATAGAAAATAGTTTTTTAAAATGGTAACTGTACTTTGTATGTAATGAATGCAGACTTGGTATGCTAAAGAAACTTCTTTTAGAAACCCTAAAAAATCTTACCGACAACAAACCATGTTTTAATAAGCATGGCTTATTCACTCAAAATAAAATGTTATAAAATATGAATTAAATTGAAGAATATTTTTAATGCAGTGAAGCTTTTTCAACATAAAGATGATATACTTATTCTTCTTGAATTTAGCTACAAACTAATTTATTATTAAATTAATTTAATATATACAAAATAAAACAAAAATTAAAAAAATACATTTAAATAAATAAAAACTAATAAAAAACTACAATTAAAATTACTATATTATTTAACATTTGCTAATGATATTTGTCTGGTGTAGAATAAGAAATAAAGAATAAAAACGATGTTTTAATTTAGTAGAGTATTATAACGATGGAATCGTTATGATGGAACGATATATGATGGAATCATAATGACGGAAAAAACAATCAAATTAAATTGTCAATCTGGATCTTGGTTTTCCACACATTCAATCATTAAATGTAGTTTCAAACATTCTCACATTTAACAAATTTAAACTGAGTGCATGCAGCAAAATTGTTCAACAACTGTATTGCATTAGCTAATTATAATAATCTAAGAAGCAAAAATCTCATTTTGATCATTCTCCAACCCTGAGCAGCATCTCGAGTCCTGAAGCTCCACCGCCGTTCTGTAGTCGTCCAGCGCCTGCTCCTTCCATCCCAGATGAGCCCGAACATCAGCCCTCAGTTTATAGAGAAGAGCATCTCCAGGCTGCAGCATCAGAGCTTCAGGAAACACACACACGCACAGATATGTTAGAGCACACACACACACACACACACACACACACACACAGAGATATGTTAGAGCAACATGTCACTCTCACCTTCCCCAGCATTTATCAATCTGTCTCTTGTTTACACAGATAGGTGTAGCATTATTTGTGTTGTCTTCACCACAACAGCTTTGTTCACACTTCGTCTCTCAGCTCTGTTCTTCTCACAGAGAGACTGACGTTAATATTAGGCTAGCACACATCACCCAGTGCTTATTCGTGACTGAAACATCAGGCTGCGAGGATAGGATAGGAGGACATCTACTCTTTAGTTCACACAAGAGGGACAATTTGCGAGCAATTTGCCATCTGCATTTGCATAAATTACCACTGCTCGCCTGGTACCTTTACAGACGTTGTTTTGCTTCAAAGAGCTCGCACATGTAAAGGCCTTGATTTGAGTGAGATAATGTAGAAAAACTCATTTTTAGGGCTTATAGGATAAGTGTTCAATGTGTCTATTTACGGCTAACAAAATTAGATTGTTTGAAAGCGTACGCTGGAATAGCAAGTGATTACTCCATTCACGGAGAACATACTCATTAGATACCGAGGGCCATCTGTTTCCTAATATCCCACCTGTTTCAGCCGCAGGCGGAGGGGCTCTGAGAAACACAGTTTTTTTTATATCAGAAATGCTTGCACATCCTTGTGTTTGACTTCATAAATATGCAGCCTGCCAAGAGGAAATCTATAATTGGTTTACACTGTAACCATAGTAACCACCTGTCTCTAGTTGTAGAGCAGTAGTACATGGTTGCTGCATTTGTTTTCCTTCTGTGTCTTTTTTCTTTTTCCCAGGCAGTCATGTGGCCAAACCCATCATGCTCTTGTCCTCTTGTGTGTGAAAGTGTGTGCTGAAAGCATTCATCTGCCTCACACACACACACACACACACACACACACACACACACACACACACACACACACACACACACTAATAAAGTC